CCTCTAGTGGAAGGGAGTGTGGCTTTTGAGGGAGTGAAAGCAGCTCCAAGGTCACTGAGGCTAGATCTGAACACAGTGTGAATGAAGCTGAAGCCAAAGGCTTCTTCATTCTTCGAATAAAATATGATTGTTTTCTTATTACTCATAAATTTATTCTCTCAAATTATGAAGGTTATGTGTAAATTTCTCTTCTGCTCTGTGAAAGAGACTTTTGAAGAACTAGTACTAGTGAGCTCTCTGGTGGTCTGGTGTTAAGAAATTAGCTTCCACAACATGGTTCAAATGCACCAACTTCCCTGCAGGAGAAAGATGAGCAGTCTCCTCAAAGTTGACTTAAAGCTTCTGAAACATTAGCAGGTCAGCTTTGAGTCAGTTCAGACTCAGTGGCAACAACCACAAATACTAGTACAGAATAACGTGTTCCTCAGCCATGGAAGATAGGAAGAGGGAAATTTCTTCCAAGGATAAGTACCAAAGTTAACTACAGAGGCTCCTGTTCCAAAGGTTCATGGTCAGCGCCTGAAAGTGTCTCTAAGATAAGAATGAAGAATGAGTTATAGGAACCTTACCTATCAACAAAATTTCACCTTTTTTTTTTTTTAAATGTTTCCTCTTCTGGGAATACTCCTGGTTTCTTTTTGTTATTTTGTTTTTCTACATAAATTTTGGGATCTGAGATTAGATTTATAAGAAAAACAAATCATAATTTTGTGTCTTTTTTTTCCTCCTTCAGAAAACAAGTATTTATTGAATTTGATAATTTTATGTATTTTAAAAGGCTAGGAAAAAATGCTATTCTTTATCATCTTAATCTCTATTTGTTTTATGAGCTTAAGAATTGAGCATAGAGAAAATAAAGTCATAGGACCTAGTTAACATTACTTAATTCTGAAAGTATATTTTAAATGCAGAAATTAATACTTTTGTATGTCTGTTGCTTAATTTAATATGACTTATTTATTTTTAAAACCACAGAAATAATGTAATATTTAGAGGAGGAACAAAAAAAATAATGCATTTTTGTAGAAAGATTAAGAAAACAATATAGATGATACTGTTGTATGAAGAATCTGTCACTAGAAATTCCTTATATATCTTTTGATCATATATGAGCATTTGTTTAAAACAATGTATAATGTAAAACTATATAGTCATAAAATATATACATTTTATTTCTTTCAAGGGCTTCTTTCCATATAAATACTTAGCTATTAATTTTACTTTTATAAACTGT